TAATTCTAGGATAACATAAAAAATAGTATGCATTTTAGGCTTGAATGGGCTCGCAGAGAAGCACACTCGGACACTTCAGTCCTCGGTGCTCTCTGCTCGTTCCAAGGGCAAGCAAGATAGCATAATTGTTTTGTTATCTTGTTTGGGATTAAAAACATAGCCAGAACGTTAACAAAGACTATGTTTTTCTAAGTGTTGGAAACTGAAATTTAGGTGTAAGAAGAGTAAGTTAACAGGATCCGGCTCTAGCGTACTTTAGAGCTTGAATTCAATATATGATTAAATATATCTAGAAAGGTTTGTAGAGGTCGTTAGAAAAGTAGGAAAGCTAGGGTCGGAATTCAGACCCCAGAACCCTTCTTTTGGTACTACTGAAACCTATTACAGACCCTCAAGAGAACCTAACTAAACTCGTTAAGTGTAAAGGTTGTAATCAAAGCCTAATAGCAAATACAAGTTTAAAAAGCCTTTGTATTAAAAAAATAAAAAGAAGCAAGATCTTTACAATTTGCTCTAAATTTATAGAGAAGGTTAACACGCAAGAACAAATATGGGTGTTATATATACTACTAGGCTGTATGACAAGTGCAAATCTATATAACAGAGCATTAACAATTAGTACAGAGGTTATACAAGAATTACAAATAAACAATATCGTTATCTATCCATTAGAAATCGAGATAATTAGTCAAGCTATAGAGAACACACAGGCTGCAGTTGAAATTAAAAAAGCTACAGCACAACTTATAGAGAAAAAACATATTGTGTTCTACACTGATAGCTCCTTGCTTAATTCAACAAAAGAACCCAAAAAAAGAAAATGAGGCTTTGCTGGGTTGTCTTTGGAAAAACAGAGCGAGATCAAAAAGGCAACCACTAGCTAACTTTCATGATACCATAAAAGACTGACCATCATCTAAAAGAGCTAAACTGGGTGCTATTTGGATAGCTCTGCTCATAGCTTCTTGTAAGTCCTTAGTAGAAATCCATACCGATAGTGCAGTGGCAATTCAGGCAATTCAAGCAAGCCAAAGTAAAAGAAAGCTTGTAATATAGTAAAAAGAAAAAATCTATATTTGTTAGAACAAATTCAGTGTATAGTAGAACTGAAAGAGCTTCAACTCTGCTTAAAAAAAGTAAAAGCACATAGTAAAATAAAAGAAAATGAAGAAGCCAACAGACTTGCAAAAGAAGAAGCTTGCAGTTCAACTCTGATTAATCAAAAATAGCCATGGAATACTCCAGCGATTTCTGAACTTAAGTAGAGAAACCTTAAAGTCAATAACGTGACAAGAAGTTTTATCATGCAGCTTACAGAGATCAGTATTAACTTAGAATGAAAAAATCTAAAAAGCATCAACAAGTGGGTGAACAGAGATCAACATGCAGAAGCAATTATGTAGAAAGAGATATGAAAAGACCTAAATTGTGTAAAAAGCGTAAACTGTTTAAGCACAAAACAAAATAAAGATTGGGTCTTCAAAATCAAATATTTGAACTAAAGGTTTGATCTGGTTGAAAAATATGTATTCAAATATTCATTTATTTAATCTTTTTAATATCTGAATATTCATTAGCAAATTTTAAATAAATATTTGAATATTCACTGAATATTTATCAAATATTAATGATTATGAAATAGTTGTTGATTCGGAACAATAAGTTAAATAATTAAGAGTTTAAATACACAAGCTAACAAATGACATTAAAATAAATAAATTGATAGAGAAAACTTCTAGCTAATAAGGATTTATTTACTTTGGGCTTATGATTATTAGTATTATTAACTAATTAGTATATATAATTGAGCATGATACTATATGACACCAATCTTGTATTTAGACAGTATATATTCATTGAATTATTTAGTAAAAAATTTTTATATTTGAATATTCAATTCAGTGAAACAATTATACATATATTTGGATATTCAAATATTCATTGAATATTTGAATATACTATTCATTAGATCAGATTTCTAGTTTGAATAGTTTATTACTAACGATGTGAGTTCTCAATTTAAGAAAACCAGGTTTATACCCAGATGATACATGCAGAATATGTTGACAGGAAGCAGAAACACAAGATCACTTAACTTAATATTCTGAGTTTCAGCATCTCTGGGATATTGTAGAAAAAGAAGGAAGTATTCTTTTCAAGATAAAAGCTAAAAAAGATAAAAAAGGGCTTAGAACAACTAATATCTAAAAGATAAAAGAGACAATTTTTGGCAAGAACCTACAAGAGAAAATCACAATAAGAAAAAAATTAATGAAGAGTCTAGTCTCTAAACAAAGATAAAATAGTATTTGTATACTGTTTGATAAAGCAAGAGATATTAGCAAGTATATTTAAGCCATCTTACTCCACTACCGACGCTAGTTTTATAAGAAAGCTGACAATTATCAGGTAATTTTCTAGAGAGGGGAGGGTTAAAAAAATTGAAATTTTATATATGAGACCTGATAATTTATATATTAAAAACTAGGGAGGGGGGTAAGTCTCTAATAAAAAAAAATCAGGTGATAAATATCACTGCCCTAAGCATATTTAGAGTTTTTGCTATGAGTTAGTTGCTGACTAGGAAAAAAGAAATAAAATAACTTAGGAAAAGAAGAAGGAAAAAACAAAGAAAAAAAAGTCAGGTCTAAATGATAAATTGGACAAGGAGAACAGAAATTCCCAAAATTCTGAAGATAGCAGAGAAAAAAGTAAAAAAATAGATAGGGAAAAAAAGGAGAGAAATTTAAAAGTAATAAAAGAGAGAAAAAAAATAGTCAAAGAATGAATCTCCTGGGGTAACAAGCTAGCATGGTCTTCGCTGGACAAAGTGTATAAAAAAGGTTAAGCAATTTTGACATGGTATACAATAGCCAATTGATAACCAAGGAGGTATTATTATATAATACAAAATTCTTAGTAAGTTAAAGATTCTGAAGGAAATAAACAGTTGTTATAGCAGATCATATTGGGTAAATACCTGGGAAGTCTTTATTAAATTAGAGCAATATACTATAAGAATGTAGTACAATTTGTATAATAGTTATATAGTCATTTACATGAATAAAGGCAGGATCGTTTAAAAAAAAAATCCCCAAAAACCTGTAACTAATGCAAAATTTTACTATAATAACCTGCTTTTGATTTTAAATAAAACTTTTTAGAACAAAATTTTATATATAGAATTGTTATTTTATATAAAAAAACAACTGTAATATTGAATTATCTAAATTTTTAGATTTGCAAAACATAGGAGTACTTCAATCAAAGAGACATGTCTCATGCCTGATAAGTAAATTTTTTTTGGATAACGCGAAATTTTTGGATTTAGCCGGCATTAAGAAATTAAATTTATAATTCGGGTCATGTCATGTGATTTACGTGATTTAGAATTATTGCCCAAAATTTTGCTATTCGAAATTTTGAATCATATAAACACAACCAATCAGATTAATAGGAATTAATAGACACATGATCTGTAACCAATCAAACTGCTAATATCATGATTTTTTATGGATAATCGGCGTCCTTGTTCTGTTAATCTACTAAGGTTTTCTATATTACAATATATATACTGTATTATAACTTGTAAAAATATTACTGAAGTAAATTTTTATATCTCTTACTAAACTAGAAAATAAAAACCAAGTTTAATTGGTAGAATTTGGTTAGACGTAAATTAAAATTACTTTCAATAGCTGCAACATCTGCTGCAAGTGAACGAAACTGGATTTAGTTTCATTCATATTAAATTATATCCCCTTCACATAATTTATGATTTGTCGCATGCATAATTTGGCTATCTTCGCATCATATGCATAGTTTTTATATATATAGTTATCACGTCCCAATGTTACGCCCAAACGACCTCAATTGAGCCAGATTGTCATTTAGGCATAATATACACAAATCATTATATTCCTTCTGTAAATATTTTTTGATTGATTTTTATCTTAGTTTGTAAAAAAGAGCTTTGTTACTTTAAAGAGAGAATTCTAATAAATGTGATTTTTATTGTGCATATTCATTAGTACTATAACCTAACGTATCATAATTGACGTTTAATTTTTAATAATCACCGAATCACCATGACTAAACAAAAATTTATTGCAAAATTTTAACATAAAGCCATACAAAATTAAATAATTATTTCTCATAACATAGAATTCTAAAAGTGCCCGGCTATTAATTTTAAATCGTAAAAATTTTATAAGTTTTTCTTTGTCTAGAAAATATTTATTAAAAACCCATCCGGAAGTATTTATAGTAAATAACAAAATTTTGTATCGAAAATTCCTTAACTGAGATATCACATTTTAAAAAAGAAAGTGATATGCGAATAATCTATCCAATAGAAAGTGCGAGAGAACTAGTAAATTCTTAGATGAAGATTATCATTTTTCGACGAGAAAAAAAAGTTTTGAATCATGGCCACCTCCGGTATTAATCAAAATGTAGCATGCTCCCGTCGACCAATCCCAAGAGGTATACTGGTAGAAAGTAAATTTTAGTTACCTGCGTGAAATTAATTTTCAACCATGAAATATATTTAGATGAGGAAACGCGAAAAAAAGCAATGAGAGTTATCGATGCACAGTTTGATCTAGAAATTTTATTAAGACAACGTGAATTACAGAAAATAAAAGAAGAATTGAAAAAATCCGAAATATATCTTGAAACCTTGAGACATTGCATTTTAGAACGTAAGCAATTATTAAATGTATCAATGAGGTATTCAAATTCGTTTTCTAATATTTATTCCTTAGCTCCTTCAAATTCTTCAAGTTCGCACCGAACTTCGACACTTAATGCCAGTACTTATAGTGAAAATTTAGGAGTTGCTTCGTTGACTCCGACGCGTCATTCAACGCGTAAAATTTATTCTACCAGAGATAATGATTATTTTTATTACGATCCATGTAAAGATCTATACTCACGTAGGAATGATGGAACTTTTGTGAGGTTACTTATAGTCTTTTTTTTTTAATTCTATATATCTTACATTGGTGCATAGAACTAAATAGCTAAAAATTTTCGTATAGATTGGCATGTCCAAAATGTCATCGCTCAAAATTCATCAACGTGCAAGGATTTCTCAATCACTGTCGTCTGTCACATAGGATCGAATTTCCTAATCATGAGGAAGCTCTTTTAAAATGTGGCACTCCAGTGGTAGTAATCATTTATTAATTTATTTTAAAATGTAAGTTACCGAAATTATTAGACTCTTCATTCATAATATCTAGTTTTTATAGGATGAGAGTTTAATACCGCCAGGGCATCCAGCTAGATCAAGAATTATCACTAGGCCACCATCTCTTCGTACAATATTGGGTAAATCAAATCTATCGACAAGTCGTACAAGGTTCGTATTTTATTAAGATATTATTTTGTAATGGCAAACACTTGTAAATATTAATTGTGAAAAGGGATTTTAATGATGGAAAAAATAGCGAAAATAGGGTATGCCATATTCCTAAATCAATTTCTGCTTCTTTAATCTTTTTGACACCGTTATTAAAATATTAGAATTATAATAAATAGCCAACTATCAAAGTATTTGAAGAAGAAATTGATCTTGGATTGGATGAGTTATCTAATGGAGCTGAAATTAACGATTCTAACGAAGCTCCACTAGTTCAGAAATTACCTAGTAATAATGAAATAACATCCTATTCAGAGAATTCGCCATCCTTATTATGTCACATATCTGATCACATTACAAAGATATCGGAAGATCATCCAATGTTAGGTTCTCCTGATGGATCGGATTCGGATTATTCGTCAGATATTGATGAAGGTGATACGGGCACAACTACAATCTCTGCTACCTGTACAATACCAGCATGTACGAGCGTTTTTGATCCCATAGATCATGGATCTCGATTTTACATTAAGCGACGTATTGTTGTTGGAAATGTTTCAAAATGGATTAATCCAGAAAAAAGGGATTCAAGTCTTAGAAAGTATACACACAAATGGATGGTTTATGTTACTGGACCACCACACGATTTGAATATTACTCCATTTATACGGAGAGTTCGCTTTTTCCTTCATCCAAGCTATCGACCATTAGATGTAGTTGATGTAACTGAACCACCTTTTCAGCTCACCAGATTTGGATGGGGCGAATTTCCGATACAAATCCAAATAATATTTGTAGATAATAAAAACAAGCCGGTTGATCTAATTCATAATCTTAAGGTACTATGTTTATTTATTTGTATATCAGCATTATGAATAGTGTTTGTAGTCGGTCCTTATTTATCGACTTGACTAAGTCAATATTTAAAATTCAGCTTAGCCGGCTAAGTCAAAGTCGATTAATATTTTTTACCTTCGGAATTTATCGGAGATTTTGTCGCGATCTCGCCAGTGTAAAAAATTCAATGTGCATGCGGATCGCACATGAAATTTCTTATTTTAATATGAAGAAAGCATGTGAACATATGAGTGCGCACATACTTCTCAAATTGAATTTTTTACACTGGACCTCGCTCTTATTTTATTTTCTTTTCGGAATTTTTTGGCCCTTACTCTTAGTACTATGTACTAAGAGAGGTATTGTATCGAATCTGATTGGTTATTTTAATATAATCTAACATAAAATTGACTAAGTCGATTTTTTGGAAATCGGCTGACTAAGCCGGCTAAGTCGACTACAAACACTAATTATGAATATATGAATATAAACTTAAAATAGATCTATATTTATATCAGCTTGACAATATTCATAATGGAAAGCAACAACTTGGCAATGAGCGTGCATTTGATCTTGAATTGGACAGAAACACTCAATTCATTGACCCAAAAGCAGAAGGACCTATTAATCATACAATAAATATAGTTCGAGATATTCCTAAACAAGACATATCGGAAACAAACAATGCTTTAATTGAAACGGACGCTAAAGAGTCATTACAGAAAGAAAAAAGCAATGATAGGCTTGATTCTGAAATTATGAATGCTTTAGAACCGCTATTAAATAAAGCGGTTAAAAATTTCTCTTCAATAACAGGTTTTCAAGTAACATGGTGTAAATGCTGTGGCTGTCCAGAATCCTGGCACGAAATTAACACTAGTACATCTAAAAGCGTTAGTGTTCCAGTTTCTCCCTACAAATGCAAACGAAGGCCACATTTTTTAGAGACTAAAAAAACTAAATTATGTAGTCTCACATTGGTACAAGATTTCTCAGATGAGCTATATCAAGATAAAGTTTTATCAGGTAATTTTAATTGGGTTTTTATTATTAGATTAGATGCCTTTTAATTAATAGCAATTATTTAAAGAAATTCTAATTAAATTGCAGGCAATGAGTCTATAAATACATGTAATGAAGATAGCAATTTGAACAATAATGGAATATCAGTTGAGTTGGTCAAAAATATGAGTGAGCTTAAGGACTGGTACACGTTTAATCCGCAAGGCATTGATTGGATATGGGACGTAGTAGGTCAATTAAAATTAGATGGCGTAGTTGCTACCAAATTAATCAAATATGATGGGAAAATTGAAGTGGAGGATGGTGACATTAACGTTGCTATACAGCAACGCTTGGAAACAGGAAATTTGATATTCCAAGTATGTACTATAAGTATTTTTTTATTTGTTACATAGTCATTTAGCCTAAATTGATCTTTATTTTAGTTGACCAAGATATTCCTGAAGGATTTGGTTAATAAAGCCATAAATGTATACAAGTCTGAACAACTAGATGATCCATTCACACCTGAAATCAATTGGTTTAGTAGATCAGCGCTTGACAGTCGTTACAATTCATATCGGCAACGAATAAAAAAGATACTTGTACCATATCATTTCTATCAAGCAATACAAGCAAATTTGAATACATTTGATTTCTTGAATGGCGAAGGTTTAGCGTCTGACAAAAAAAAGATACAAGAATGATGAAATACAAGACTTCAATTATCGATATAGTAATTTTTTTTTTTTTATATAGTTACATGCCAAATTACGTTTATTATTTTTATTTTATTATTTTTTTTTTATTAAATAAACAGGACAATATGTTATTTATTATTTATTAATGTAATACCTTTCAAAGTTCAGCCCATTCTCGAACAACCTTAATAATAACTTAATATATTAGGTCCACCACGTGATTTTTAAGAAAAGTTTTTTTTGATTTCATAGCATTGCTTATTTTATTTCTATTAAGAGTATTTTTGGACCACTTTTAAAATAGTCTTATAAAAGTCTTTCGAATTTCTAAGTTTGCTCTGTGAAACTGCTAATTGCTAATTGTATTGATTATTTTGATTTCTATTAAAGTTTAAGAGATGCGGCGCAGTGTATTACAACTACCAATACTTTACATAACCATTCACATTGTATACGAAAGAAGAACTTGTTTTTTTTTCTTTGGTTACTGTCACGGCTGAATAAACTTTACGGCAGAAATTCGGGCCTTAATTTGCACAAAACTCTTATTAGTCCAATATTGAGAAGGTATCGATATTTAGTAATTTTTTTATTAGCAATCATTAGATGGATAATGCGTATAAATTTCGAAATCTAGATAATTTCCGACTTAATTGAGATAATTGGTCCAGACCACGCCAATGAATTACGTAATAGTCATCGTGATGCTGTAACTTTAAGAAAAATGCATGCACTCTTGGGCATGTAGGTTTTTATCATATCTAATAAGTATAGGAGGTTGTACGAGAAAGAAATCAATTTCTATTGCATGTTCTTAAATCCTGAATTCCTAAATGTGTACATTACGTACAGCATACAGCAAATCATTCTTTGACATTATACCTCGCGATTTAAAAGTCTTATTGTAAAGAGAATTCACGGTAATTAATTAAAAATTTTGTTTATCAACAAACACAAACTGATAGGTGCATTTAAACAAATTAAACCAATCACCAAACAAAGCTTAATAATTACGTACTGCACGGAGTTTAAATTGAATCCAAAAAAGTTTCCAACGAAGCAAATATTTAGTCAAAGAGAGCGTACAAACAAATCTACCAATAATCGAACCCATTTGAGATAAATTAATACCACATGAGTATCACATGATATAAGGTTAAAAAAATATTAGACACGTCATACAACATTTATGAAAGGCCAAATATTTTTATATATCATATTTTTGATGTTTTTTTTTTCTTATTTTAATCTATACTCGATCAATGACAAACATAAATTAACTATTTAAATGTGCATATTATAATGAATCTAAATCTTATTAGTGTTACATATATGATATACGACATTGTATACAAACCTTATCTTGTCAAGGAACCAAGGAACCAGATTAAATTCAAGAAAGCTAGTTTCACGAAAGTTTCACACTTTAAATGATTTAAAACTTTATTTAAGAAATGAGCATTCATTCGTACTTTTTTATAATCGTGTGTGTTTCTTTAATATTCGTTCAACGCTACCATCTTACGTAAAAAAAAAAAAAAAAAAAAAACAATAAATAAACTATATAAATAATATGTAAATACATATTGTACTTAATGTACATACATACGTACTTATGTTACTTATGTACGTACATCAGTTATCAGTTATTATCAGTTTTTTTTTTTTTTTTTTAATATAAATACTGAAATAAGTTTAATAGAATTTTTAAGGTTTTTATATACACAAGGTGTAGTGTAACAAATATAATGTCATTTGATTTAACATCTCGCCACATTACAAGAAGTATTCATGTAATCAATGTAATACGATATAAAGTTTCCCGCCTATTTTTACTGAAGATTTTATTCAGTACGCCAATCTTGAGTTCTACGTATGTGCGATACAAAATGCAGAAAATGCGCACATATATATACGTAATATATTTGTAGAATTTTAGAATTTAGAAGTTTTTAATGATCCGTACATGTGTTTATATTTCAAGCGTTAATCAAGAATACATGCATGACCTTAGTAGCTTTTCCACGTATCAATGAATCACGTGGTTCAATGTCATTCAATGTCGCAATTTATGCGCACTATATCTTGTTATACCCTTGTGTATCCTATTTTTAATCGATGGGAATTTCCTCGAACAGTTGAGGTTTTTTTTCGCGGTAAATTTAATTTGTGTAACAACAGGCTTCTTTGGTCAATAATTACATATCCCCTTGATAAACGATGATAAGCATGATGAACGACGATGAATGGTGCATAGAATTTCTATCTACTTTACAAGTATCACTTTTTATCACGATAACGTGTGCTAATTCCTTACTCTTTTCTCACCATGTGTCATTTATCAATAACTGTACCCATGATCGACGTCAATTGTGGGGTAAAACGCCCGCCAACATCAAGTATATCATTTTGGAAACTACCATCTACCTTAACACCCTAATATGGTTAATTGCTTAAAGGGTTTCCCGCCCAATTTATAGCTTCCTATCATTGTTATAGTTTAACCCAAATTTCTCACGCAATTATTATTTTTTTATGCAGGGATTATTAGTGACTACTACTAGTCAATTTCTATGTCACGTTATCATACCATATAATAATATTACTAAAGATTTTAAGACTTTAAATATTAAAGAAAAAAAAAAAGGAATGTTCAAATTAAAAGTTTTATTCAAATGTCCATTCGCGTTGATTTGAAGCATATTGTTTTTTAAATTTAGCTTATTCCCAAAAAGAAGTAAAGGAGAAAAAAGAAATGCTCGGATGCTTATAGTTTTTTTTTTTTTTTAAAAAAAAAAAAGAAAAAAAAAAGAAGTGTTCACGAAAAAGCTTAATTTTTTTGATGATTTTGTCACTGTTCATAACTTATGCGGTAATCACCGTCTTCACCCTGTTTCGTGATAATCCATTTTAAATGTTCAGGGCTAACCCATTGTTGCATATCTTCAGGCGTGATTTTATCCATTCCAATATATTGCAGGATATGCACATCTTCGAGTATGCTGGGTTGGTGGGGTTGGAACGAAAGGATTTGAGAAACACTATATTTTCACATGTATTAGAGTAATGTTAGCATGTGTAATACGTAGCAATATGTTAATCTTAAATGTTCTCTTAAATATCTAAAAAATTCTTCAATTACCCGTCTTCTCCGGTTTGATTGTTAAAGACGGTTCCTCGCGGACAACGTATCAATTTGAAAGGAAGATACAGTTTTTCAGATTTTACTTTGTTCGTAACTTTATATGGATCATGACGTTGCTTGTTCCTCTTCACAAGATTGCGAATGTGAAGGTGCTAAATATAACAATAATATTTATTAATAATATAATAATATGTATTTATATGATTTATTTTATTAACTTACGCTAGCTATTTTATATTGGAATGCAACTTTAGCCTCATCCACTTGTTTGCTCAAGCGTCGGTTTTGTTGCTAGATAACATTAATTATTTTGAAAAAATTATAAAAATTCTTTATGACCAGTTAAAACACGAAATCACGCGTAATAATCAATTTAAATACCTCCAAAATTCTAATTTCAGATTTTTGCCTTTCAATTTCGGCCTCTGTCGTCGCAGACGACGAAGCCAAATTCGTGTTATTTTTTTGACCCGGTAATCCCAACCATCTGATCTCTTTCTTATCTTTCGCAATAATATCCATTGCCATTAATACATTCAGTGCGTCATACACCCTACGACGTATATTTTTTTGATCTACTTTTTGCTATAAATAGTAATTGCATAAATAAGGTAAGTTTTTTTATTAAAAAAAAAAAACAAAAAAGAATCGCGTTGTAAAGATAATATTTCTAGGTGTTACCCACCCCACCATGCTCTTGCATATGAGCTGCAAAGTCTTCAGACAATTCATCTGCAACCTAATGCATGGAAGGCAGTACAAAAAAAAATTATCGAATTATTAATAATGCTCTATGCATAAGTACATCATATTTTCCACATGAAATAAATAAATAAATAAAATTTTACGTCAAGTAACAGATGATTCCCAAAAATACGTGTAATATTTGCATATTTTCTTATTCACAAACTTTTGATTAAGTTTATAAATACCGTTAAATCATCCTTAATTATTTTTCAAAAACTTACCTCATTATAAGTAGTAACGCCTTTAAGTTCCACTTTATCACAAACTTGTTTACTGAAATGCCTAAGCCCTTTGTTTTGCCGTAAAATTTGTTGTTGCGGGACTTGTTCACCCAACATACTACCAGTATCACTACTATTAGTAGTAACAGGTGAACCATTGGATGATGTACTCATTGGGTTGGAAATAGGTGCAATACGGAGTGGAGAAAGACTAATACCACTATTGGCAAGATTGATTTATTCGATCGGGAATTTTCAATGCGTATACATAATTTTTTTAATTGGAAAAGTTTATGTTAGAATCATTTTATGAAATTAAATTAAATAAAAAAATTAAATAATCCATACAAAAAAAAAATACAAAAAAAAACAAAAGGCATGATGATAATAATAATAATAATGATGGAATGCGTTCATGGCAAGATCAAGCATCCAACTCCCGGAAAGATCAACAGGAGGGAGGGGAATAGAGTATATAGAGTAGTAATATATATATATATTTTTCTAATTCCACTCCCAAAATAAAACAACAAGATCTCATTCATTGCCTTTTATAAAGAGGGTAACACTCACCTCTCTTGACAACCATTACTGCAACTACCACTACTATCACCATCTTCATTATCTCTATTCCCATCCTCCCTCCTGTCAAATCTCATTCTCTTTGAATTCAGCTGATCATCATCGGTGGTTTGTAAAATCTTTGATAACGTGGAAGTTCTACGACACGCGTGAGTACTCTGATTAAATGGTTGATTAGTGATGGACGTTGATAACCTCAGATCGCTACTATATTTTTGAGGCATTTCAAGCTGTGGTTGTTGTTGTCTATCTTGAGTAAACACGAAACCACCAGTAGAAATGGGTGAAGAATAAACACTACGTGGTAGTGGAGGTGAATCAATTGTATCATATTCCATGACAGGATAATTTGGTTCACTAGAACGTCTTAATTCAAGGCGCGGTCTATTCGCTAAATGACGTCCATGATGAGATGATACGAACATACTATCAGAAATGTGCATTCCGTTGACAGACGTGCTAAAACCATTAACCAACTGAGTAGACGTGTTTATCGGAGGAAGAATATTGCAACCGTTACGACCGCTGACCGGAAATTGATTTTCAAAACCTTTAATTTGAAAGTAAAAATTTGACGGTGCATTATTATCGCTTATTAAGTGAGCTCGCGGGTCACTTGTATAAACACTATGACGAGGAGGCGGAGGAGGTACGACGGTTGGAGCAGGTGGCGTTGTATATACGGATATTGGGTGCGAGGAAGGTAATAAAGGAAAAGGTGGTGGTGTCGCCATTGTCAAAATGAGCTTTAAACCGTATTAAAAAAAAAGAAAAAAAAGAAAATCGAAAAGTACAAAAGAAAAAAAATAAAGTATAAAAAAGAAAATTTTTTGCTTTGCCAGAATATTTTTTATGTTTTGTTTTTTTTTTTTTTTTTTTTATTTTTTGAATATATTTATAATTTATTTACACACTCCCTTTATAAGTCTATAATAACGCGGAAAAAGTGTTCTTTTTCTAATATAAACGAACACTTTCGAAATAACGAGGGTCGTGAGCTCGGCACGACTTTTTTAAAAAAAAAAAAATTTAATAATAATATAAGTATAGATAATAATATATATATATATATGAAGAAAAAAAAAAAAGAAAAAAAAGAAAAAACGAAAAGAGGTGGGGATAACAAAAGACCGAAGATGGGGAAAGGGAGTGAAGTAATAAAATCAAAAAACACACCACGAATTTCTCAAATAAGGAAAATCCAAAAAAAAAATCTAAAATGCAAGGGAAAAAAAAATTTTAGAGTTGATGATGTTAGACGAGTAACATTGATTTTTTGTAAGGTTACCTGGCGGGATCATTAATATACACACACTGTTTACTTACTGTATGTGTAATAATAATGCGACGATTCTTAATCTACTTTCTTTTCAATCTTCTATTAAAAAAGTCTATAAACTGTGTACTACTGTTTGGTTTGATATAAAGTTAACTATTTACTGTATTTTATTTGCATTAACTTTTTATATTGTATACTGTGTATCTTATTAACTTAAAATTTTTTACAATAACATATACAACATATACAATAACATATATGCTATAATATAAAAACTAGTTTTAAAAAAAACTTTATTATTTTTAAGTTTCCAACTTCTCGTCCCAAGATCCTGCTACATATGTACATATGTACCGGTACGTACATTAAAAAGTTACACTGATCAGGTTTTTTTTTTTATTCATGCTTTTACTTTGAATGCAAGGGGTTATCACCGTTACTGCATTCTATGCAAAAATACTAACAAACGTCAAACTTTTATTGCATTAGCTCTCTTTTTAATATGATCTAAAAGTTCAAAGCTATTACCTTTTCTCCCCGCTTCCGCCTTCAATACAAAGAAATTTATTATGCTCTCACATGCGAGACTCCACTCGCCCGTGATATGTCCTTACAAGCATCAATTCTTTTCCTGTATCTGTGCTTCCCCGCATTCTTGCATTCAAAAAAAAACAACGAAATTTTGGCGTCGGAGAAAAACTAATCAGATTTTACATTGTTCTTACTGGAGTTCGAACAAAGGGTTCATATTGTATTAAAAGGCAAGAAACATATCGATAAAAAGGACAATAGTACTAAATATTGATGATACAAATATATTTAGATCGTTATTTGTTTATTATATGTGTATACATACATATATATATATCATATCTATTTCTGTATTTTTTTTTTTTAAAAAAAAAAAAAAAAGCTGCAATTGTAAATCATAAATCCATTTAAATAATGGACATATGGACATTGCCAAATATGGCACCATTCATTCGCCAAAGACAATAATTTACGTTGTTTTCAATCTTTTGCCAATTCCTTCTATCATCCATACGATACAATTTCCATTACAAATGTTTGGCATCATATATTCACCTAAAAATTCAATCACTATTAATTAATAATTAATAATTAATTGGAAACATCCGTTGGTCTTTTCGGTTTTGGTCTATGTGTATCTACCGCGTCAATATCAATTTTATATCTGTCTTCATGACAAGTATATGCTTTAGGAGTTAATTTGATAACTGTATGTAGGGGAATCTTAATATAAGGTAAATCATCTTGTGATAATTTTTGAAAATATGCGTAAATACAACGTAAAATTGCTTGATGGCCAATTATCAGGATATTCTGTTGCCTCTCAAGTTCCATTATCACTGGTTCTAAACGATAAACTACATCGCGATAAGACTGTAAAGTACAATTAAAGTTTTCAGACAAATGTTTCAATCATTGGTTATTTGTTAAATTAAAATCATTACCTCGCCGCCGCGGTAACGATAATTAAATTTGTCTTCGTCTCGGTTAAAATAATCTTCTGGATATTTTGCCTAAGAGACATAGACATAGACATAGACATTGAATCAGCACGATTAATTTAGCAATTGATTCATCAATTGATTTATCAATTGACTTAGTTCATACATTAACGCAATATTGTAGTATCCTATCACTACGACAACTACGACATTTAACAATTTATAGGATACAACTTACAAGCATTTTTCAGCAAATAATACAGACCTCAATTTCTTCATATGTCATTCCGTCGCAAACACCAGCATCAAGCTCATCTAATGCCTTCCACTGTAACTTTGGATACTGTAAGTGTTTGGCCGTTTCTATTGTACGTTTCAATGTTGACGTCCATACCTTAGATTAATTTTAACGTGAAAGGTTATATAAAGATACTACCCGATAAAAATCCTTAAAAATTAAATTACATACTGTCAAGGGTTGATCTCCCAAATTTGCTTTAATGAGTTCAGGAAGTGCTAATGAATATTTTCTACCTCGTGGTGATAAACTAGAATCCCCTCCAATTTTTCCTTCTAAATTATACACGCTTTCACCATGCTAATATTAAACATTATTTTAAATTCATTAGACTTAAGCTGTTCTTAGTGTATATACATCCAAATCACGTCAACTTACTCACCCTACTAAAGAAAATACTTCTGGGCAAAATATGCAAGTTCATCAAATAATATACTATTCGACTTTGTAAATATCCTTGAATCATATTAATCACCGCTTGACTTCCAACATTTATAAGTTTAATATATGTAAAATCCTTCTCACTTGGCGTTTCATTTACTGATTCATAGACTTCCTCATAATGTGATATTCTGGCTCGAAAATCCTCTGCTGCTTGTTCTGGATCCATATCTTTATAGTCTGGTGATGATAATTTTACATCCATAATGTTCTGCAAAATCAAACTCTCGTCTTGACAAATAGATTCAACAAACATGACTTGAACATCATATTTCTTGCAATGGTCTATTATCATAATACGTCTTTCTCGTGTGGAATTTGTGGCATCGAATATAGCCACTGTACCATCTTCTTCTAAGAACCATTTAATCATATCGTTAAGTGCTTCAAAGGCTGCTTCTCTACGTGCAATCTCTCCTTCCGTATTGTGAGGATCAAAAAATGAATGCATTTGATGTGCTCCATGAAGTTTTCGACGGTAATTTCCAACATTGAAAACTTTGGTTGATACACTTAACCATTGAAGATAACGACATACTTTCAATTTAAAAAAAAAAAAAAAATTAATCGAAAAGTTTTACCTTATATTTTAAAACAAAAAATTCACACCTACCTTTTTGCGCAACGTATGTCTTGCCACGGGCAGGAAGGCCCACCATCTAAAAATATAAAACGTAAAAACTGTTTATGAAACAAGTATACAGAATTATGGTGCTATGCTTTTTCACATAAGATTTTGAAAAACAAACGAATAACACCAATGAATCAAAGTTAACAATTTTAGAATACATACCACACAAGCGATTCGTGTACCTATACAGGCAATAAGTTAGCATATTAAGCGATTGGGTCAAAATAACCATTGCAAGTAACCTACTTGAGTTCATGTTTTTTTAGTAGACAGAATTAAGGTTATCACGTGTCTATAATATTGCTAGCAGATTAAATATATAAGGGAAATTACAATATACAGTTATCTTGTGATCTAGTGATTCAAATCATACGATTTTTGATTCTTTCTGAGACTATTTAATTATTGCGCTTTGCAAAATGATGTGGCCTCTGCAGATCACGATGTTGTATGAAAATCAGAGATTCTGTAGATTTTAAGAACCCAATTTCAAATAAATACGTATAAACATGACTGATCGAAAATATGAATTAATAGACAATTAAGAATCTCGGAAAATTTCCTCGTTCATCATCACAAAAATCAAAGCGCTATAATTTTTGTCAAAAATTTTGACTAAAAAACATTTTTACTTAATACTAGTGCTCCGAACGGGTTGACCCGAATAACCCGAGACTGACCTGGTTATAATAAAATTTATTATATGCGTCATGACCATATAATAAATTTATTATATGGATCATGACTCCTAACAAGTAATTATTATAACAAGGTCAGTTTCGGTCAACCCAATACTTAATAGCTTAGTAGACGGCTGCGGTTTCATTAACGATTAAAAGATGTATTTTATATTTCGCACGATAACTATGTAGTTCTGTAGTTAGATCAACTTCTGCGATTATTTGTCACATGTTTTTAATTAATTTGATTGGTGCATAAACACATTAATTAGGAGTTTAAGTTTAAGTAGATAATCATCCAACAGTTAAATGGGTTAAAGCACTTTCGAAATAAATCGATCAGATACTGATCAGATCACTAGAGAAGGAGTCCTTCGGGCAACAATTATCCGTTATCTATATGTTTAACATTAATTATTAATCATAACGATAACGATAATAAAATTGGCCAATTATATTTGATTACCTAAGATTTTTAATTTATTGGTCAAAAATGTTAACATTAATCATAATTATCATTTATCGATATTGCTAATTCAACTAGATAGATCCGTTACGTCATCTCTGCATTACACATATATATTCAGTATATAGAATAAATAAGAAAAAATTATACCTTTGACTATACATAGACTCTATAAAGGACAACTGATGTCTGATAATTATAAAAAACAATGAGTAAACTTAAAACTACACCACCACTTGTTAGCCTTCGTACAGTAAACACTGCTCAAGAAGGTATGCTGCACATTTTGACTTTGGCAAACTGAAAATATTCCTTACAAAGAAAAAAAATTCTTATATAATATACAGTTGAAATACGCCTTCACGAGCCCCTAATTCAAAAACAAGGGTCTCGTAAGAAACGAATAGGGCTACAAATACTGAATGCGTTGGCAAGATTGGAAGTATTACTGAATAAAGAGGAGGCACTTGCCATTTCAGAAGATGCAGTGCAGCATTTGACGCAGGTTCGTGTGTGTGCTAAAGATAGTTTATTTTATTGACAAGGGTGATATTTGATAAGATCAAATAATTGGAATTTCGTTTGAGACATAAAAGGATAATTAAATAACTGTCATCGGTACTGCTTATATATATAGCACTCTTATAATTGGTGAGGTTTAATGTGTATCATATTTGATTGTGTATTTAGCAGCCTAACAAAGCTCAATCTGAACGGTTTTCGGTTTCATGAAATACCTGGGGTCTGTTCTGAACGTGAAAATTACCCCATTTGGTAGCAAGAATTGACTACTTTAAGTTCTGACATCATATTTTTTTTAAGCAACAATATAACAAGATGGAAATTGAAGCTGCATTGAATGCTCTGGAGACTTCTCTATTACAGCTCGAAGAGGATGGGATACCAAAAAAAGACACTCAGGTGGATGAAATTATGTAATATATACGCATTAAATCTGATTCCTTGGTATACTGAGTGATTTCTTTACAACTACTTGTAGACTTACCTGTCAGAATTAGGTCTTACAGTACTTTTTCCAAAATCAGCAAAGCGATTAGTTGTCAATAACATTCCTTCTGGAAAGGTTGATGCACTAGGTAAATTCGAATTACCCTGGTTAACACTCACGTGACATTCCACTAATGCTAGAAATACGTCACATGGCGTGAACTAGAATATAATATTCCTTATTTTCTTTAATATAACCTTGTTTATTTACAAATTATTTGAATATAGCACATTTTAACGAGATGAACGTGCTCAACCAATTGGCTTCTATTTCACTTCAACTCCAACAAGATATAAAACTTCAGAATCACAAATATATGGCGCATCAACTTGCACTCCTCTACGTATGTATTAGTGATGATAGACATTTTTATAGAATTGTTTATTAACATTTACATTGTTTTTAGCAATGTCTCAATCAGGCTGGAGGACATTTTCTTAAATACAAATCTCGTGTTGAATTACATTTTGACAGTATAAAAGCTCTGACCAGCAATTCAGAAGTACCAAAACTTAATGCAGAACAAAAAGAATGGTAATAATATATATTATTATTTTATCTATAAAGGGTAATAATAATTAATTTTATGTATTCAATTATAGGTTGTCCCAGGTGACTGCTGATATCGTTACGGAAGCATTATTTAGTGGCCGACCTGTGACACCAATGTCACAGCCCTTGGCAACATATCTGAACGAGATTAGCGAAGCGCCATCAAAAAACTGATTCTTTTCAATAGAAGTTATCATATTTATTTAATGGCATTTATTTCTTTATTGTGATAGCCCAAAGTTCGTAGAAAAAAAAAAAAAGAATTTTGTATGAGGGTGATGTATGTAGTTTATTACATCAATTATTTTGATGTAACAATGCATTAACAATTTTTCAGAATAAATTTTTTTTTAAAAAAATTGTAAATAACTTTATTTTTTATAACAATTAAATAATTATTATAGAAGTGTTGCCCCGGAACGTCCAATAAGAATTACTAGTGCTGTAAGTATACTTGTTGCCAAACCCGGACAAATTATGAACCTCCAAAAAATTAAAGCTAATAAAATTAAATCAAAAATAATTTTAAAATTTACAAATATCTTATCAATAAGAATATACTTGATTCATTTGGACAAAATTATTAATAAAATTTGAGTTTTAAAGTAACAAACCTAAAGCTTTATTAATAATTTTTATTTAAATAAATCAAGTATATATTATATACTGTATATGATGTAGTTGTAAATATTTTATTTGTAAAATTAATACTATTTTCGATTTAATATTATAATTAGCAATTATTTTTATAGTTTTAAATTTATTAGAGTTTGGCAAACTAGTATAATTATAAAAAAGATTAAACCTGTTTAAAAATATTTAAATATAATTATTAGAGTTGGGTTTGATAGCTTAGTAGATAAATTTTTAAATATTTATTAAGTTTGTAGTTTAAGTTTGATAAAAATAGAATATTAATTGAAAGCTATCATTACAAAGTTTTTTTTTTTTTTTTAATATTTGGGGTGTAGCTCCTGCCCCAAACTTTTATTAATACTTAAGTAAATTGACATATGATAGTGCTGTAAATACATACATATTATATATCAGAACTAGGACTAGGACATCAAGTACTAAGACTATTTATTCACAGCTAAACCCCACCAGAGCCATCAACATCCCACACATGTGATTTATCTGAATTTTATACATCCTTCCCCAACCACCAATCAGTATTCACATGTCTGCCACATTACCCACAAACCTTTATCTTCAACTCCCAAATTGGTGTGTACCAGATAGGCGCTTATTGCTTCCAGTTTGGTATGCCTAACAAAGCGATTTCTCCCTCAAATCTTACTTAGTATACTTTTTAGGAGTTTGTATCTCAAGCCATGCAGCTGCCTTTACCCGAAAAGATAAGTATTTCAAGCCTGCATGCTGCCGTAACTAGCTGGATTTCCTGTAACTTTCGGGACCCAGGTCTTAACATATCCAATTAGATTTGTGCTAATGACTGTAATTCCCAATATAGTGACAAGGCTACTCAGGCATGTTTTGCAAATGCTTCCAGTAGTTAGTATATTTGAAGGGTATCATGAGGCTTAGAGGTAACAGATGTGTCATCATTTCTTTTTATGGTGATTCTCGGTATTTGTAGCCTCCAGTTACTGCTACATGCGCTTATGCCAGCTATATCTATATTGGTGGTCCCGAGTCCTCTTAACTCCAAAAGGCTCCCATACAGGTATGACTAGAGCCTGTTAGGTCTATCAACACATACACACCTCTATGCTTCAACTTCTTATTGGCCAGAGAGTTCCATATGTGCTAGAGGGTTCCAAATCTGTAAGGCCAATTCTTTACCACAGGTCCCTTTGTATTCACCACATTTCTCACCACTTTCCAATTCTGGTTACCGCCAGGTTATCCTCCTAAACAAGATCCCAAATGCCATCTTAGGGGTTGTTGGTACTACCTTGCCAATCACAGATTTACATACACAACCTTTGTGTAATAGAATCTTCTGTAACAACCATTATTATACATAGTGCCAACTACTCCACAATAGACCTCCTTCCAGAAATTCCTAATCCAAACTTGTATTCACTTGGACTTCCCATGGCAGATATTTCCAAATATTCATAGATAAACGTACCTACTAGAACTTGAACCTGAAACCCACTCGTGGAGAGTTGGGTGCCTAGACCACTAGGCCATGGAATCCCAACCCCAATCATAACCTTATATAATAAACTTCTAAAATAAATTTTACTATAAAAACTATTTTTTTTTTACTCTTTATCACTTAAACATGAAAACCAGAAATTCAAAACCATTTGCTACTGTTGCAAACAATAAAGTACAAACTACTTCTAAACCTGATCAATCACTAAATGAAACCATAAAAGAAAGGAAGTTGATTATTCAAGTGTTGATAATTTACAAGTTAAACTGAATGCTACCAATAAACGAGGTTGCAAAAAGAAGAAAGACACAGTTGCATCTTTTTCACAAATTATTAATGACCTTTTAAATGATACTAATAATCCACAAGGCAAATATTATATTTATTGAACTTTTATAATTAGATATAATTAGATATAATTTTTATATTCTTTTTTAGATAAAGAAGATAAACAAAGTAATAAACTGAATTAAAAAATAGCAGTAGCCTTATTTTTGTAGATAGTTAATGAACTTTTAAACAATGAAAACGATTTACATAGTAATAATTACTTTTAATATTAATATATATTGATATAGTTTTTTTATATTAGTTATGATTTTGTAATTTTTTTTTAGATGATAATGAGGTTGATAGTATCAGTGAATTGTCTCAATCTTCTATAATTATACCTTCACAACAACTATCACCAGATTTAAGATTAAGAAATGAATCACCTACTTTAAGATCAAAAATTTCATTTCAAGTAATGACACCTTTGAGACAACTATCACCAGCTTTAGAATCAAGATTTGCACCTTCAAAATGTTCATCACCAGCTTTAGGATCAAGAATTAATATTCAAAATGATTTTACTTCTTTCTATCAAAATTCTATTAATCTAATGATTGCACCTCTATGAAAGTTATCAGCTTCAGAACCAAATTATTCTAACAATGCATTTAATTACTCCAACTCTAATAATATGGTTATTCTATCAATATTTAATGAAATGTCAATTTATCAGATTTGTTTATAGTTATATGCAAATCAAATATTCTGCAGCTTGCAAATAGTATGAACTTATCACTGCAAACACTAGCTGCGGATGGTTTACAACTTACTTCTTCTATCTTTTTGGCATTATTGTCTACTTTAGTATTATCATCTATAGCACAAGATCAATATAATAAAAAGGTGATTTACTTTTTATTATTTTTATATTATCTTTATAAATTACTAATAATTTATATGATAATGTAGACAAAAGCCAGCTGAGACTATTTAGAGGAGTTGAAATATCTTTTTCTTCATATTTAAAATCTACTAAAAAAGGCATTTGAAGATTTAGTGCAACAGATTATCAAATGTGATATTAATTCAGCTGAAGGTATTGAATAGCTTCAAGTAGATAAAAGGCACTTTGGTAACTTCTGTAACAAATTAATTAATAATATTGAAGAGTTGGTTAAAGATTTCAAAAAAAAAGAACTCAGTTACACAGATTGAAATAAGGCAAATCGGGTTTAAATCGGCATCATAAGATCATGATATAAACCCAATTTGAAACAGATATTTGGCACAAATAAGATACCTATAAGATACAGTTCATATTAATATTAGCATACAAGACATATTGACAAACTGATAGTTCAATAAGTAAATTGATAGTGCTATAAGATAAGCTTTATCGATTTACCTATTGAGCTATCAATTTGTTGATATGTCTTGTATACTAATATTAATCCGAATTGTATCCTATAGGTATCTTATTTGCGCTAAATATTTGTTTCAAATCAGGTTCATATCATGATCTTGTAATGCTGATTTGAATCTGATTTGCTTTATTTCGACCTGTATTAGTATGTAGTATTATTTTTCTTTTAGTTTTTTACTTAAACTAAAGTAATATATTTTATTTTAATTACAGTTCTACAACTAACTCATTGAAAAAAAAAGAAATTATTGCATTTGTAGACAAATCTGTAACTATTAATATATTTAATTAGTGGCTTAATACAACAAATAAAGATGAATTATGTAATCAAAATTCAATTTCTTATTTGTGCATATTTATTCAAAACATATTTGCTATTAATTATTCAACAAGAGATATTGAGGGGACAAGAGCATTAGATAGATTGATGAAAATATTGCTGTTCCATTATAAAATAGCAAAAATTTTGCTAGCAATATACAATTATAATACTTTATATTTGATTTAAATAATGTATTTAGCAGTATTTAATTCTTTATCATCCTATAGCAGATTTTAAAGCATTATAATTTAAAGTAAATTTATTTATTAAATTTATTATTGTTATTAAATTTATATAATATGCGACTCTATTATAAAGGTTGATTTAATATTACATAATATAATTTTTAAAATTTATATTTTCTCTTTGAAATTAATAGAACATCAAGAAGAACTCTTCTTATAGATCACTTTACCAAAATAGGAACAAGAAGAAAAAACTTTCTCATGATATTTTCTCGAAAACCTATTAAGCAAATTAATATTTGGCTCTTAAGTAAAGTTGTCCAGCACCCCTAAAACTACCTAAAAGAGGTGCAAATTTTGTTAAAAAACTCTACTACAACAAGTTAGTAGCAATAAACTTCCAAAATAGCAACAAAGCAGTTTTTCAATCCTCTCGCGAAAGCAGTCCTAAGGACCCCAAATTTTAGATAAACAAAAACAAACTACAATTAGTGTTCTTAGCAAAAATAACCAACAGCAACAAGTACCATATCTTATTAAGCCCCAAGACCTCAATAAAAACATGGCCTCCGGAAGCACCTCTTCCTACTTTGGATTTTTTTCCCAAACCCCAAGCCTATACAACCGAAAGACACTCCTATTACTAGCTCACTATTAGATCCTAGTGTAGAATACACTAAAAAATTTTTAAACATTACTATCAAAGACTGGTCTAAACTTACATTTTCTGTTAGCTTCTCTGTTTCCGAATATGCTAACAACTTCATCTTCTTTGTTGATATTACCAAATCTGGCAAGATCCCCAACCTGACTAACTACTCATTACAATGGGTGTGCAGACATAAAGATTCTACCCAATCAGTCCTGTTTGACCTCACATCACAGAAAAGCAACATCGTCAACATTAGCGCCAAACTCCCAAAACCTACTCGAAATAGTGACCTTGCAACAAACCATATTTGAAAGCTAGAGATACAGAAAACTTAGCCTCAATTCTATACAACATTATCACAAACCTGGACTCAGATAATGAGTCCAACAGAAGTAACAATGAACAAGTTGTACATACAAATTCTCCTACCAATCCTAGTCTTTCTCAAGACTTAAATACAGATTACAAAATACTAGTACAAGCAACAACACTACCAACCCTGTGACTAACACAGTTACAAGTCCTAGCACCAATAACACCATTAGAGTGACCTTACCCAGGCCTAGCACATCTACTAATCAGATTATTCAGTCTGCACTTTCTGCATCTACTACTAATTATAGCTTAGTAGCCTCCAATACTAACCCAAATACTAGTCGCAAAAGAACTAGAGACCTATCCAATATTTCCCCACTTGTAACAACCCCTAACAAAGCCACTAAAGGTTTACCTGATAATATTGCCACATCTATAAGAGCACAAGCCAATACGAAGCCTACTGGTACAAGACCTACATATAGCCAAGTTATCCAAACAAATCTCAAGTTACTCAAAACAGAGGCTCCAGAAGATGAAATGGCATGGGCAAATGATGTATATCTCAAAACAGTTACACCCATTGATACACCCTTCAACACTGACTCTTGGACAGTAGAGAAAATTGCTAAGGCACTTGAAACCCCAGAGGGTTTCTACGAATTCACTAGCTATAAGCTACATCAGCAAATTTAATCGGGCTTAATATTGCGCAATAATTTACAAAGCGTAAGAAAACCGTAATATTACGTAATAACTTTCGCAATATTGCGAAATATATAATTAC